CCCCCCCGAATGAAATTGAAGAACAACTAGTGTTAATTATTTTAAACTTTGCAAAAAACATCAGAAACCTAACACTACTACATAGATGTCTCTGAAGAAAGAAAACTGAAAGAGACAGGGGCAGGAGGGGCATATAAAGAAGGAGTTTAGAAGGTAAGAATCCTAAAAGTTAGAGAGGAGATACTTTAAAAAAAAAACCACACCATAGGCTGGGAGTGAGCACAAGGAGTAGAACATTATAATTACAGAACAGATTAAATGAAAAGACTATCCTACTACGTTAAGGGAGAGTGGGGGAAATCATCAGATTTCACATTACGATGTGGAAGAGCTACCCAACAGAAAGGATTAGCATTCAACTGCATATTTTTATATACTATATAAGTCACATCTAATCTAAAATGTAAATTGCAAGCTCACAGTTCAGTTCAGTCTTACTGTGAGCAATCAGAATACTAAAGCTCTGTGAACTCAGTACTAACATTAACTCGGAGCTTTTTCTTACCCAATTTCAGAACCTTTCCACCCAAGCTACTGTACAGTGAAACCTTGTTTTTATTATAAACGGTGGTGTTATTTGCATTGTTTGGGTTTAGAGCCACCCTGTCCTTTGGTCATGAAATCAATGCCCTACAGCAGCAGCTGATGCTTTTAGCCGCTCCCACCCCTCCCAAGCTCCTTCTCCCACCGCGAGGTGGGTAGCGAGGCGACTCAATGCGCCTTGCAGCTTCAGACACAGTTTCTGCCTGGAGTTATGTAAGGAAGTTTTGCAAAGTGGCAGGCTATCACTAGAGATTTAGTCATTCCATGTGGGCTGGATTCAAACTGAGATCTCAGGAGCTCAAAAGACAGAGCGACACAGCCTCCATGGAAGCCTGTGTACGGCAAGTGTGCTAGAATAGAGCCCTGTAATGGGAGGAAGCGCGGGTTTTATTAACAAACAGTATGGCAAACCACAATTTCTTTTAAGATCAGTTCATACCTCCTTAGGAGAACTATAATTGGGGATGCCTTGATGTTTCACTATGTGACGAGTTCAGAATTATGCCTGAGTCACTGTACTAGCCTTCATTTAAACTTCAATGTGCATTTTGCATTGGGTATAAAACCACCACTGCAATTACAACCTATCCAACACATAGTGGGGACCGAAGTGCAGCAAACAGAATGCTAACAATTTTTTAAAAAATTATTTCTCATTCTACCCGTACAGCTTTGATCTAGAGAAAATAACAAATCCCTTTATTTAGTTCTATTTGCTGCTCCTCTCACAATATGCAGAGAGAGGAAAAAGTAACTTATGAGGCTAGCAAGGAAATCCAAAAAAGAAAACTACCAGAAGCAATGACAAAATTTTTCAGGTGGCTAACAAAGAGGATTTATAAGCCCCAAAATGTATGACCGAGTTCAGCATAGCTCCCAAGTTGCAGCCCTTTGCAAAAACATCCTAAATTTTCTTATTTGCCTTCACAGTTATTTCAAAAAGAAGAGCAGCTAAGTAGCAGCTTTGTTCCTTATATCTGATTAAATTTTCAGAGTAAATTTACTAATTAGGAATCTATGTTTATAAAACTATAATCCATGCAAGCAAAAATGATCCTACAACATTCTTTTACAAAAGCACTAGAGCAGATGTGCAGGTGTTGTTAAAGGGATGAGCAAATGAACCTTGTTCTTCTGAAAAATCTCAGAAATCAGGCTACACAAACCCTTGCAACAATATTGTCATCTGTTTAAATACTGGGACTATTGGGGAGGGGAGTTCAGCAGTGGTGGGAGGGCTTTCATGTGGTTACACGTTTATTTTATTTAATATTTTTTTTTCAACTGTTTTACTCTGTAGCCTTTAACATACTAACATCAGCTCCACAAGAAGAGCGAAAATAAAGCATTCAGGGAACTAGTGAAAGAATCTTTATATCACAAATACCTTACTGTTTATAAGAATTCTCTGTAATTGTCCTTAATCTGGTTACTTTACAATTCTTTGTCATCACCATTTCTAAAACTTCCAAATCCTTTCCTGCAGAGCTCAGTATTCATTACTGATATGTCTGGGCACATACATTTCAAAAAGAAGATACCAGACAAATATGTGACGTTAAAATACTTGTGCTTCTAAATATATTTATTCATATACTTCAGTGGTTCAAACTGTCCGCACAAAACCCCTCAGAAATCTCACTTATAAGTAATCTTGACTTTACTGAGACCTCGTTTTTGGCAGCTATCGGGAAATAATAAAAAAAAGGCAGTTCAGATACCTGCTTTACTACACCAGTAGGTAACAGAGGAGATTAATTTCAGAAAATATACTGAAACATTTGAGGAACTGACCATTAAAACAGGCTTCTCTCTCTAAATATTTATGAGTCATTTTATAACTGGAAGAAAGGTGTTCTAGAATACTGATCTCTAGTGTTACACCTACAGATCTACAGCACTCACAAATAAATAATAAATATTGATATGTGTGCGTAGGTCTACCTGTACTGTATTTTCAGTGGGTATACAATATCCAATACAATACGCAAGCTACTTGAATACCTCACACCAAACTCAAAGCATTGTGAAATACTGTGTAATTTTTACAGTGTTTCAGCACAGGTTTTTACCAAAGCAATGCTTTCACTTTCAATACCAGTGTATAAATGTATTTACCCTATCAAAGATTTTGTGATGCAAACATGATTATTACTGTACCTGATTTGATCATGGTATTCTAGCAGAGATCAAATAATAGGGTTTTTTGTTTTCTCCCCTTCTTTTTCTAGTGCCTTTAAAAAAATTCTGCTATCAAAGAATGTTAATTTCTAAGGTTTGATCTAGAGATTCCTATGTAAGTATACAATTATTAGGGAAAAAGAGGTACAACAGTGAATATTTTAAAGCAATGTAATCAATATTTTTGCTTTGTGTAGATTTCCCTCCAACAATGAACAAAAAGATCTACTTCAGATTTAGAAACTCAGCTTTAAAGGGAAAGCTAGACAACAAAAAGCAAGAAAGTACTCACCTCTTCACGTAATTTTATCAACTGCAACATGAACGCACAAAAAAGATAAAAAGGAAAGAAATGGCAGGAAAGAAAGATCAGTTGTGTGACAGGATACAGAATTAACATTGACAATTTATCTGTTTACATGTTTAGCATTTAAAAATCACAGACAAACACATTAAAAGAACCTAAACATAGACTACATGCAGAGTTTTTTGAACGAATAAAGATCACTTTCTCACACTGTCACATTAAACAAAGAGAATAGTGTGAAATTCTCTTTTAAACCACATCTAAGACACCATCATGAAATAAAGGGGAATGACTTCATAGAAGTCTATAATATAAAGAAAAAAACAAGTTTACTATTCCTCTCTTCGAAGATTGTACAGCTGAAGTGGTTTTGTATATACAAGTTTTCAGAATGTTTTCTGTATATTTTAGTTGTGACAACTGATTTCTTATTTTACAGCACATCTAACTTATTAATAGATGACTGCATCTTTATAGCACATAACCAGTATTTCAATTTTTATACACCTGAGTTCTAATGTAACTACAGTATCCAATTTTATTATTGAACCTCAAATAGAGGGTTTTTTCCAGTCAAACTAAGAAGCAGTAGCTTAGTTAAATGGCTCAGAAACAGTATTTATTGTATAGCATATTTTAAAAATAGACAAAGGAATAGGGCACAGCATTAAACATATTTCCCTCAGAAAAGACCCATTCCAGATTCTTAATCTGAGACCACTACACAGTGTGTGTATATATACACATGTAGTGTGTGTGTGTGTATACTTACATAGTATATACATTTATATTTATCAGTTTATGCTTGTAAATCAACACCATTAATATTATTGCACTGGCAAGTTTACTATAAAACTAATAAAATCCCAGTCTGATTATCAAGCTATATTGTAATATGCTCTCCCTTTAGAGAGAGAAAAATTATTTGTATTGGAACAAAACGTATAATTACTCACAACAAATGTCTGCATAAGAGTGGCTTTTTATAAAAAATTACAGTTCTCTCACCGATTCCAGTTGAATTCGAAATTACAACAGCTACACGATTATCTCAGTTTATGCTGGTACTTCACCTACAGTTTCATAACACTAATTTTCAACACATGTGTAAGCTGAGAATGTTTACTACTAATAAAGTCTCGCCAGCACGAAGGAAACAAAAGATCCTCCATTATTCTCTACTGTTTCATATGGCTCTTCTAAAACTGATTCTATGCCTCGGCCCGTTACCAAAACGGACAGCGAGGCTCTAACTAGATGTAATTAGGAGGGCTACTACATGGATTTAAACTGAAACAGCTCTTCAGTATGTAGCTAAAGGAACTTTGCTAGAATTTGGTATAAAGAAAGCTGCATTGTCCGCCAAACTGGCGCTTAAATTCAAGTGCTTGGCCATCATAAATTGGTCTCTTTCTCCAGATCTTCCCCCCCCTTTTTTCCCCAAAAAAGGCAAACATTAAGGCTCTTTAGAAAGAGACGATCTGGGAGTTGATCACATAGCTATCTTTTCTTTCTGAGGCCACCATTCTTCAGTTGACTATGATACTTAAAGGGCCAAAGTTTAAAACTACTCTCCCGCAACAGAGCCCGTTTGGGCATGCCACCCTGCTATAATCAGTGAGAGTTTTAAAATGCTGCACATTTGTTTTTTCAATAGGTCCCAAACAAAAATGTTCTATCTTGTTTGTGCTGCATGGCTGAATTTAAGCTCTGCATGGGATTTGCAGCTAAGCTAAGTAATGGGAGAGTGGTTTGTTTTGTTTTGTTTTTTTTTAACATTGGCTGAAAGATATTCATTCAAATTAACAAAAGATGTATTTTTCCCCCATTTAAAAATGCTCCAGATGAAAATGTGTTACCTTTACTTTTCTATTTTGAAACATTATTTTTATTATGCTTACCGCTCAACTGTAAACAGCATTAAGCCGTGTGCAGCCACCATTTTAGGTTATGATAATCAGTGTATTTTTGAAACAAAGATTTTGGGTTTTTTTTGCAATACAGAATTTGATACAAGTGGTAATCTGTTCCTTTGTAGGCTAAGAAAAAAAAAATCTGGTTTACGCTGGTTTGAACCAGTGGAATCTCTTGTGGCTAAGCCTTCTGCTGTGACTAAAATCAAAACTGCGCCGCAGAGAGCGAGGGAGCGAGATGGGGCGCGCGCGCGTGTGTGTGTGTGTCTGTGAGGCACATCACGTGACATAGAAAACTACCGAATTTTTTTTAAAAAGCTGATAACGCTACCGCCGTCTCTGTCCGCATATAGATAACGAATAAATGCTGAACTCTATTAAACGCCCTTTACACATTATCGTGGGTCGAACACACAATTTTCTGAACTTATGATGACAGTCTATTTATTTTGCTATAAACCCTCGGCATGTAACGAACAGATTTGTGTCTGGTAATGATCTGCTCTGCCAGGGCTATATGAAATGATACCGACCTTCTTTAGATCTTGGGGAATTAAATTGACCAACTTCACCCCCTGGTCTGTAGCTGAAGTTTGACACACTTTATGCACAGCAAGCCCAAATCTAATATTACCAGAACTTTGTAGTCAGAAATTAAGTAGCCACAAAATATTTGTTCACCACAAATCACATATACGGTGTATGTGTATACAGACACGCAATTTAACCTAATGCGTATTTATTTAAACTTCTTAATGAACATAGATGCGAAAGAGAAAGGAATACTATTATATTTCAGGAAATCTGGTAACACAATGTTTTACCTTATTTTGGTCAAGAAGGATTTCTGATTTAACCCAACATATACTTTCTAAAAAACATATGACTTGCCACATAAAGTTCTATGATTATTAACAGTGAAGCCAGAACTTTAAGTAGCATATCACTGCACTGAAAAATTCAAAACTTTCAAGATATTTGATAAATGTTGGCGGCCAGAACGACAAATACGACTTCCAAGCAACAGAGCCCATTTAAGACCACTCCTGGAAAATAAATAACAACCCAATGTTGTCATCTATACATGATGACTGCTATGTAGGGGAGACATCTTGGAAAAACAAAGACGACGAAAGATAAATCATCACTGCTAATTCCTCAATCTGTTCTTCGCACTTCATTTCTTCTTCTTGGGAGAACAACTGGAGACTCACACCCATGGCCCTGTTTATTACAGCTTATAACTTGGCTGTGGTTTGCTGTAATTGTACCTTCTGAAAAAACAGAAGCTGAATACAGAAAACATCCAACTTTTCTATTTTTCTATTTATTATTTATTATTATTTCCATTTATTTCTAGATACTTCATGCGGTCAAACTAGCCTGCATACACTAAGTTCCTTTTGTCTTCTCACTCCACCAAAACCATTATGCCAACGTTTGTCATGATGATGAGGACCACACCCAAAACGTGCAGCTCATATCTCTTGTTTCCCTTAGGTAACACCCAAGTCTAAAGATTTACCAATATTTTTGTCCATATTATGACCAATATGTTGGTCAATAATAGACTTTTACCAATATTTGTGGATTGGTACAGGAGCAATCCTGAGCTGGCAACTTCTTTCAACAAATCCTCTGTCAGAAGAGGAATCTCTCCTCTCCTCTTTCACAGTTTGGTGGCTGAATTGGGGGAAACAAACCCACCATTTTTTTGGGGTTAAGTAATTTAACCTAATCCAAACTGACTGAGAAGTAGAAGTCCTACAATATTAGGTGGACAGTCAACGCATCTACCTGCATTTAATTCCATCAGACAAAACAAAAGCAAGAATTTGAAGCATCTTCCAATATTTTACATTACACCTGATCATCCTTTCGTCATCTAGTCCAAGTTTTCTATTGATATAATAATGTCTAGGAGTGAAAGTGTATTAGACCTGGGGTTACTGCGTTAAATACATCGATGTAACACATTCAGTGTACAGTAGGTACCCAGACCTTACACTTGATTTGGATAGCTGTACGTTCTGATAAGCTTAACATCAGTTTTTGCACTAACTGCTTGCACCCATAACTACGTGCCTGTAAGTACAAATATAAATATTTGATAAGAAAAAGAGGTTGTGAGATTGATTATTGAAAAAATACAGTAGATAATACTTTTTAAAAATACTGGCATTCACGTATTTAAAAGAAGTTAGGCAACTCCTTTATGGTGGTATTTCATAACATTTTTCTGGGGCAAAAAGAAAGAAATTCAGAACTTTCAAAGGTACAGAGGCAACAATTTCAAGTTGGGTTACAGAAAAGGATTTTGATTACTTAAAAGACTACATAAAAGTCCTTTACCACCCAAAATTTTCTTCTATTCAAACAATGGTCATTTGGAAGAAAAAGCTCATGTTGACGAATGGCTGAAGGTACCATTTAGCTCTTTGAGATGAGACCATATTTCTTTCATGAAGTTTAGAATAAAGATCATAACTCACAAAAAGTGCATGTGAACCAGTTATTTAACCATTCCTTAAAAAGTGAAAATAAAATATTTTATCTCATCCCTACACATAAGATATTCTGTTATAAGTAAAGCTTCTTATCACAATTGCCCTTTTATGTCTGAAATCACACAATTTTTTCTTGAAATGTAAAAATAGCAGCACCTTAAAAGAAATAAAATGAGAATCTTAACACTTTCACAGGACCGAGTATATGATTATGACACACAGACTGTAAAACTCTTTTCCCTAAAATAATCCTTTCTGTAAATGCATTATTTAGGGTCAAAAACACCTCTATTTTATTCAAATTTCGGAATCTCTCCTTGCTATAATACATACATATGAATATTAGTATCTTTCAGAATTAACTCTTCCAGTAGATATTCGAGCTCCTATACTCCTTCCAGTAGATATTCGAGCTCTTATACTCCTGTATATATACAGTCATATATCTACAGATATATTGTATCACGTGTGTAATTTCATTAATGTATGTATTAAAGTCTATTACAGAGTTTAAAACTTACACAGCACATATAAAATACTGTATGAGGTTAAAGCTTAAGGGGGTCTGTATTTTAAAATTCATTGCACTGGTATAAGTCTCCAAGTCTTTTCCACTACAGATAGAAAAACTGAGCTTATACTGAGGGTAGAAGATACTAAAAATTTCATAACATGGTTCTGATCCATTTCCTTATTTACTATTGCATTTATCAAGTAAACATTTAAACAAGTATCAGTTTCACTACCAAATAATTTAAATTCTATCTGGTCAGAAGAGAAAATTTGATATTTAAGAAAACTTTCAACTAACTTCTAACTCAAAATGCACAACTTTAATTACAGCTGACATGATTTTCAAAAAGAAAAGCAACATTCTGCTTTCAGACAGAGCTTGTCAAACAAGTTTCAGCACCAAAAGAAATACTAACAGGTGGGTCAAAGTCCCCTGAATGTAATGTTGCCTTTATAATTTCCAGTAGTGTAGTAGGATCCTCACTCTAGTGTCCAGAACAACAATACGGGTGCAGGATTTTAAAAAAGCCTCAGGATTATCAAGCTTTCCTTCATTAAAAGAGATGGATAGCACTTCGCATTCTGGTACAACACGCATTATGAAAGCATGCTTTTATTACTACATCTTGTGATTTTGGTACAAGAAGAGAAAATCTGTTTAGGGAAGGAATCACACACGGAAACTGAGTGGGTTACTGCCTAATTCTGAGAGAGCACTTTCATTTGTTTTGCCTGCCAGTGTTGATTTAATTATACTGCATTATTATCAAAGCTGCATTATGTACTTTTTTTTATTCCTTTTACATGTGTTTGAGGTGAAGACCTTGGCTTTGTCGGCAAACAGCGCGTTTCAAGTTATTTCTTAAGTACTAAATAATAAAGAAAAGAGAAGAAAAGATTTTTTTCAAGATAGCAGACAGTGATCACAAGTTAAAGGGTTAAATGTAAGATCTCCAAGAAACATTTTGAAGTTGATTAAGACCCCAGCTTTGCATTAAACAGTATCACTTCCACATGAGTTGTTGCTAATGCTGTTAGGGAGCAGCTTGAGAAGCCCAGTGTGCCAGTGACCTCCTTCACCCTCCAGCCACCCACTAGGGCTTCTTGATTAGCATCCTACCTGGTTCTCTGAGGAATTCCCGTCATCCCCTAGGAGCTCATTCCGCACCTCATCACTGTAGGCGATCCGTGACCTTTTCTGTAAAACAAAAAGAAAAAAGGGTTAGGAAGTAAAGCTCCGAAGCCATTGGTATCAAGGCTGATCATCTTAAACCCAAGTAAAAGTTTTTAAAAAGTTCCTCAACTGCTGTATTTTGACAAATCTGCATGGCAAAACCTTAGCACTTCTAAGACAGTCACATCCTCAACATTTCAGCAATGAAAGCAGCTTCAGTGAAGCTCAAGATACGTACTGTGTGATCCCAGTTCTGATAGTCAGGTAACCGGGAGAGGCAATATACCAGAAGCAATGAAGAAATGCATATGTAGGAACCAGATGTATTTTTCTGAAGAACACTGGCCAGCTGGACGCAGGACCCAGCGTAACACTGCAGTGATGCCATTAAATAGGAAGACTGAGCTTTTCCCTTATAAAAAAATCCCAAACCTGAACAACACATATATGACAAAACTGGTTGAACTGAGAAGGTATAGAAAATTAGCAAGTATTTCTTACGCTGCTAAGGCTATGAAAGCTACAGGGAAAGCACCACAAATTAAAGGGCAAAAGAAAGCAAAGAAAATAGTAGTATGAGGAAACATTGGTTTACAGCAGTTCATGGAAACACCACAAAACTGAGGCAGTCATTCATTAGATTGTTATGCCAGACAGTCGTTACTCACAGCTTATGAGCATCAGATTTGCTCATGAAGATCATCGTGCTGATTCTAAATTCGATCCAGAGCCAAGCAATGGAAAGCAAATGTCTGAAGATTACCACGGTAGCACAACATTCAATGGAACAATGGGGAAGTCCATACAGAGAACATCAGCCCAGTTTTCAATTTCTTTGTGGGCCAAACAATAGGCACTTAGACAATATTCCTACATTTACCATTAAAAGAGAGAATGGATTTTTAACATAATGTCTAGTATCTTTTATATTTGAGTGAAGTTTTGATCACTTTTACACTTTATCAGAGGAAGAAACCCAAGAGCAGCAAGAACTAAGCTGTGGGGCCTTCCTTTATTGGTGGGAGCTTCTCCTCACACTCTGCCATGGTAGTCACTACCAGTAGGAATTCAGCAAAACCAAATCTCTCCTCAAACCTTCCCTAATTGGACATCCCTGCCAAAAAACGTGCTTGGGACCGGGGGACAGGAAACAACCCACTAGAAATTATACTGAGCACTGGGAAATTCATTACTTTTATGACAAAGAAGTTTGGAACTGGGTCACCCCTTATGCTAGGAACATAGGATAGCAGTGGAGTAAGCCTTGTATTGGTCATCTCACAGAAACACGTTAGCTTTTTATCCTATGCTGTTCACCCTTTATTACCATCGTCATCGCTACAACGCTTACCAATTTGCGATTCAGTTGCTCGTGTTCAGCCCTAGATTATATACTAAAGCTACAGATGTACGTAGCAAGGACAAAGCATACCACAGACCTACTACAAGAGCTGAATTGTGCCAAATCTTTTGGAGATCTCAGCTGTCACAGTTTCATACTAACCAAGCTAAAGTAGTCTACAGCATTAAAGGAAATGAGAACCTTTAAACAGGCTGTGGTATCAGAGCTGCCTGTTTAAATTATTCATTTCATCACTATAGGGGACTAAAACACTCCACAGTATGCAAGAATATCATATGGAGATAGGTTTTGTTTTTCTCTTTTTTCACCAAAAAGCCAACAAATTGGCATAGATTGCTCAATTATATTATTTTCCTATTTTTATTTGACACACATCAAACAAGGAAGGAAATTTCAAATACATACCAATAAATATCTAATCTTTTCTGATTAAGATCCAGTCTTCCCATTTGAGGTCAACTGCACAGTTTCTCCCAATTTGACAAAACGACTCAGCCCCATTGATTCTGTTAGTGTTGAATGAATTTATCATTATTAGACTCAGATAAGGAGCATGATGCTTCATGAGCTTGTTCTCCAGTGAACAAGTTGCCTAATTATATGTGGAGACTGAGATGGTCCTTGGTTACACATCATTTATTTGAAAGATTTAACTGGCTGATATTCATAAGACTGCATGAAAGCAAGGAAAAAGAATATCCTTCACAGGAAAGAAATAAATGTTAATAGCAATACAATTTTTAGAGGCCCTTTATAATCCTTTATTTCATCACCACTGAACTTTATAAATATATTTGTATCGTTGTTCTTTTATTGCAATAATCTGTCATGATCTGAAAATCAGCAATTACGTTAAAAGAAATAACTCTTTGACTACAATTAGGTGTAACTCTTTGCCATAATCAATAAATAATTTGATACTACTTTTGATCACAGTTTCACTATCAAATGAATCAATAATATAAAAGGAAAGGCCTTTGAACTAAAGTGTTCGTTTGCTCTTTCAGAATTTGACCAAAATACCAGTATCTTAAACTGGTAATCTTATTTTTATTGAAGTAATATTGGCTAACAATTTTAAATGTGGCCATCAAAATTAGTTCAGTTCATCCAAATTCAACAATTAAATAATTTTTAGATTTTTTTTTTGTTCATAACTATCAACTGTTTATAAATATGTTCTTTAGCCAAATGCAAGAATGATAGTTTGAGCTGGAAATGTCACACACTCTGCTACAGTTTGAAGGAACCCAATTCATAATGCATTTTATAAATAGTTAATGACTTCTATACATAAGCTAACCAGGCAAATCAAGAAATTGTCAACATTTTTAGTCTTAGTTGTCAGTTACCACTGTCTACTGGTACTTTATATGTATGTTTCTAGAAAAGACAGAAGCTTTACAGAGTTTGTAATCCAAGGCATTTCTGGGCAGCTCAATATAGGTTTGAGAGCTTCTGTGTGCAGTGTTTTGTCTGTAAAGGTCTGTCACATATAGAAGTTTTCCTTGTATTTTGGATTTTCTTGTACATATGTAGACAAAAAGTCTAAGCACACAAGTGTTTTCAGCTCAATGTAGGTGTGTGCATTGCAGTGCAGCGTGCACACAAACACACAACGACACAAAAGGGTTAAGCTACTTTCTACAAGAACTTCAAGACAGAGAAAGTTTCAGCGGCTGTTTTAAATGTAGTACAGTACCCAGACCTTCTGACAAGAAAGAATTTCTGATTCCAGGCAGATCTCTCTTGGTTTATGAACAGGATTTTTGCATACTGATTGGGTGATTTTCTTAAAGCCCTGTTCAAACAGATACACTTGCTCAGTTCTGTCTGGCAATTTGGCTTTAAACAATCTGTCTACTTGACCCAAGCCTTAACATTTCCCAATAGAACTGCATGTGTTCATGGGCAAGCACAGCTAAATTAGAATTGAAATGAATTAACTCAGCTTAAACTAATTAAGATCTGTGATCTGCAGTACCACCCCCCTGTATGATTCTACATGTGAAGTAGGGTACATGTAACCAGACTGTAAGAATTCTGCTATACTACTAATCTGAGCATAACAATGAAGTTCGTCTATTACTAAAGCATATGAGAAGTTAATTTCCATGGCCTACACATGGCAAAGCAATTGCTTAAATTGCCTCACCTGGGAATTTAATACAATGTTATCATCAGACCAGCCACACTGTAAATAGATTTATAATGCTTTCCATGTGCTAGGCTAGGTTGCATATGAATTAAGTAATGATCTGGTATTACAATACAATCAGCTAGTTCCCACACCTGGCAGACAGGATATTTTTCTAAATTACTACCTATACAGATACATCACAACATAAAAACACAGAAGGCAATGGGAAGAGAAACAATCTACACGGTGTACGACCGATTTTTACATGGTAACCAAATAAGATATAGATAGAAAGAGGTATCCAAAATAATCTGTTTCCAACATCTGCACAACAGAAGGCATACTTATTCATTTCTATTCAATTTTGGCCTAATTTTCTGCATTCTATACATTAATTACTCATCCACATTCTGAAATGTTCCCATCGGTGAAGGCCAGAACTAGCCAGTGCCCCCTCACTCCAACGCACTTTCAGCAATCAGCCAAACAATTGATATAAAGTATCGCACATTTTCATACCTGAGCTAAAGAATAGCTTTCCTCCTCCTAAATGCTAAGCTGCCCCCTGAACAGACAAGCAAACCCAGGCGCATTTCAGACAAAAGGCCCAAACCCTTTTGTCCCAACCTACCCATTTTTCAGGCTCAATGTTTTAAGAATGGATTAAACAGATTTTTTTTCAGTGAAAAATGTGTAAATAAACAAAGTTTTACTTATCCACAAACATCTGTTTTCGTGCAAAATTCACTACAATTTCCTAGTGTATATAAATGGTTTAAAAAAACCTTCAGGCATTTGTTTCAGAGTTTGGCCCTGCTCTAGATGTAAATAAATACCCTAGATTAGCATAACCAAAAATAATTTGTGGGAATAAACTACATTTTATTTTATGTTCTTTGAGAGTAGCCAGTTTTGCCATTGCCCTTGCTAAAGCAAGGTGAAAAAACTGACCTGACCCTCAAATGGACTTCCAAATACTGCAGAAGGTACAGTTTGATCTCTGCATTTGAATAGATAACATATCTTTTGCTGAGCAGAAATGGAAAAGATACAGTTTAACAGCTTTAGAAGAAAAATAAGTGATCCTACTTAGCAATCTTAAAACTTCTATTTAAACAGAAACACAAACATACTTCTTCAGGAAATCAAGCAATTGAAATTGCTCAAGAAATTGTGTTCAAACTTCAGTTTTCAAAACTTCTACATTTCTCTGTAAAGGTGATCCAGGAACAACAGATTGGACACTTCAGACTGCAATTTGAAAGGGGTTTTAGTGTTCCTAAGTGGCTTGGTTTTTATCGATTGTGTGTAAGAAGCAGGAAAACGATTACATAGTGCTAATACACAACCTGATGCAGTGCTGGACTTTTAAGCATTTCCTTACGAAAATAAAAAACCAAAGCTGATACATTTCTGTCCAAAAGGAAATAAAATCTGTTCTACAAACCCTATGAAACTTGTGATTGAAAGAATCAATTCAACAGTACGCGTTGGCTGGCAAAAGTCAATGTCTAAGCTCCT